AGACATGAGCATTGCTCGCTTTCCCCAGGATGAGGGGACCCTTTTGTGGGTATAGAGATCTGAGGGGGGGATTCGGGGTGTGTGGTGGGGGGGTTAGGGTGTGTGTGTGGGGGTGTGGGGTTGGGTTAACGAGTGGCTGCTTGTTTTGGTGTCAGAATAGGTGTGTATCTTCCTGGGGATTAGGCAGGGTTTTTTCTTCTATTGAGTTGTTATAGATTGCCTCATGAAGTAGCCTGTTCCCCTTCATTGGAAGTGTTCAAACAGAATCTGTCTGAAATGCTTTAGCAGATCCTACCCTGAGCAGAATGTGACAAGGTGACTTCTGAAGATACTTCCAACTCTAAGATGCTGTAATTCTGTGAATTGAATTGACATCTCACTCTAGTTTATTAAGGAACTTTGTTGAGTACTTTTTGAGTAAGTTTTTTCAAACAACTATGGACAGACATGCCCTTCAGCCCATACTTAATCCATCTGCTCATCTGAATATCTTTTTTTAAAATAATTTTTATTAAAGATTTTCACATAAGTAAAGGATAAACATGAAATTATATAGAGTAAAATTAAGAAAGAAAGAGATAAAAGATAAAAGGAGAAGGAGAAAAGACAGTGCAGGTAGAAAAAGGAAAAATATATAAAGAAGTGACTTCTGAACTTCTTCACAGCAGTTACCCACAAATTCATTATCTCTCCTCCCTCTGTCTGCTGATCTGAATATCAAGGGGTGCTTTGTCAAATGCTTTGCCAATACCAAGCGATAGTATATCTGCAACATTCCCACGATTTTTAATGAAGTTACCATATCAAAAAATGAAATAAGATTTGTTAGGTCCTGTTCTTGAGAAATCCATGCTGATTTTTGCTAACCAGTATTATAGTTTTAATAATGACTATTTTATATGGTTTTCTTTTTAATTGAGTGTTGCCCGCCACCCAGAGTCACTTTTTTATGAGATGGGCGGCTATAAAAAATATGATCAACAAATAAATGATCACTGTATTGTTTTCAAAGTGTATACAGAATCAATAGTTTGATCATCTGCTCTGGAATTTTTCCAAGCATGGCCAACCTGGAAAAAGTATTAAGATTTAATGGTTATGCTTTTTGTAACGTTTAAATGCCAAGAGTGCTGGGTATTTTTGATTTGTTCCTTTCAGATATTCAGATGTTCAGCGATGAACATGATAGAAACTGTTTCCAAGCTGTGTGCTGATGAACTCTGGCAGCAAACCACACTGTGTTGATTTTTGATAGTGAAGAGGGAGCTCAAACTGGCTGCTTACTCCCCCTTTCACCAATTCTCTTTCCTGAGATTCCAGCAGGCTAAGTCTAAACGTAAACCTACACCTAACCCAGTGTTTCTCAACCTTGGCGGCTTTAAGATGGCTGGACTTCAACTCC